GAATGCCTGTGGGATATTTCCAAAAGATCTTTTTCCACCCTTTGCTACCTCCGTGCTCTCCCTAAGATAAATTGGGTCCCTGCCCTCTTTGCCTGAAGACATAAAAAGAAGTTGCCTAGCTTCATTGTCCCACAGTTGTCTGGAATGGGATTAAATCCCAATAGTAATGATTATTCCTAGAATATGACTAATTACTACTTTTGAATGTGACTGAAAATGGACTTTCAGCATACATTTGTCTTCATTTAAGTTGTAGGCATATTACCTTTTGAAGAAGTAAATGTTGCTTTCAATCTTTCTCTGTGTAGCATGAATTAGAGAATATTGAACCAACTCAAGGACTTTCAGTAGAAGCATCATTAACATTTCTCCAGAGATTAATCAACCTTGTGGATGTGCTAATTTTTGCAAGCTCTCTTGGTTTCACTGAAATAGAGTCTGAGAAAAACATGTCATCTGGCGGAATTCTGCGACAATGTCTTCGTCTGGGTAAGCAAATTAAACCACTTAATGAGCGTAGGAACTTGCTGTTACTAAATAGTTAGCAATTGTTAGCTTTATCTTTTTTCTGTTCTATTTTTGTTAAATCAGGATTAAATTTAGTCAAAGGATCATTGAGATCTACTATTTTACTGTTGCTGGATTCTGCAATGCATCTATGTGGGGTTCTTTTACTATTTAAAAAGTTTAAATAAAATAAATGATTAAATTTGGTAGCCTGACTATTGTGAATGCATGTTTTCATTTTATCCAGGAAGATATTTCTTTTTCCAAAGTTCCCCAAATAGTCAAGGCTGAGAATAGAGCAGCTTTAAGAAAAAGAAATCTTGTACTGTAAAAACATGAACCTTTACCAATGTGTAGAAAAGAGGTTTAAATCTTGAGGTCAGTAGAGGAAGGTATGGTGAAAACTAGAGATGTAAATTTGTAAAGAGTAGGGTTCAAATTGGTCAGTAGTTGTATCCACTATTGAGGGATGTTTGCATCAAATTGGACTGTGGTCGTTACGTAACAACTAACGACTATTCTGGAAGCGTGAACAACAAGATCATAACGGGGTTTAGTTAGTTAATACAGGAGGGGAGTATTCATGCTAGTTGCATGCTGTAAGACTTTTTGCAATGAAAAGTTTAATTTGCATGAGTGCCAGAGCAGCTCAGTGCCTCAACAGTAACTAGCCTTCCTCTCCCTTTCTAGGCAATTAAAACTTTGTGCAGGTAGAACAAGATTTATGGGATGCAAACAGGTATAGAGGTGGGGTAGTTCTTTTTTCCTTTAAAAATAATATTAGAAGATGAAGCAGGTACAATTGTGAAGCTAAAAAAGTGAATCCTGTAACTTCAGAACATTTAGTCTGAGAGTAAGAGTGTGCTGTGAAGCAAACTCTGTCATTTGTTTCACTGTTGTATCACTTGTCTTACTTCCTTGCTAGTCTGTGAATTTAGCTCTCTTCACCCTCCCTGCCCCACGGTTGTATGCACGGTAAAATTTCAGTGAGGGATGCTAACTCACTCTGAAGTATCCCTTAGATCATACATGTTCTAATAGCTTAGTATTAATTATAAGTTGTAAACTATTAAAGAATTTTGAACGTTGTTTTGTGACTATTTAAAATTTATGGAAGCAAAATATCATTTTACTGGTGGGCTCAAACTTTGTAGTTTAAGCAATAAACAGAGATGTGTTAGACATTTCTCTAAGGGATATAAGCAGTTCTGTTTCCCAGAGTAATTCTTAACCTTTCTGTTCTCCTCAAGTGTGTGCGGTGGCAGTAAGAAATTGCTTGGAGTGTCAGCAGCATGCACAGATGAAGCCTATTGGAGACACTGGGAAGAACCAAAAAGCAGTGCAGGGCTTTATGGGAACAGGAAAGTCTGCAGCGAAGGCAAGTATGAGCCCTCATTCACGGAACTCAGAAGTCAGTAATTATTACTCTGCACAGAGGGATAGGTTACTAAATGTATATCTGCACCACTCTTCCTTTAACAGAGCTGAAGGACATGAACACTGGAAATTCTGGAGTAGTTTTTCCGAAGTGTGCATTTAACCCTTACATATTTAGCCTTCCAGGGTGAAATAAATCTGTCACAGGAATTTGCCAGATTTTGATTTTCTTTAAAGTTGAAATACGTATCTGATCTTTGTGCTGTAGTTATGACAATGTGATATACAGTTGGTGATTGTACATGCCTAATGAATCTTGGTAGAATGATTTAAAAAGAAGAATCTGAAACAATTGCTTTTGTTTTGGAATAGAGTCCAGTGGACATTGTGACTGGTGGCATTTCTCCAATACGGGACCATGACAGACTTCTGCAGGATATGGATATTAATCGACTTCGAGCAGTAGTGTTCAGAGACATAGTAAGTTGCAAACAATCACGATGTTGCCGTTTTCTTTGTGGCTAGATTTGTGCATACATCTGTTTGCTGAACGCTTGCTATGTGTTACACAGCTTGGCTAAATTGAACTGACAAAAACTGAACACTGCTCACAGTAATTGGGAACACATAATACTGCAGCTGTTGTAGGGTTTGGGGTTGGAAAGAGGGAGAGGTGAAAATGGCTGCCTGCCCATCTTTGGTGTGTTCTGAAGAGCTGATTCTCTGGAATTCTGCCTATTGTATATTAAATATGTTGTGTTTAGTACTAATATATACTTTCGCATGCTGTGCATAGACAAACTGTTCATGTATACTGTGCATCATGAAAATGTTTATGTATACTTCTTGAAAAATGAGCATGTAGCTAATTAGAAATTAGAGGTCATCTCTAGTTCCTTTACTTCCCCTTAGAGGAACCAATTTGTGTGCATGTGCTGCAAATATGCATATGTTTTTGAGTCTTGAATTGACTAAAAATATCTTTGCCCTATGTCAGCAACTTTATAGCTGATATTGAGGAAATTGAGATTGATTGCTTGAAAAACCCCCTCTGTAAGCAAATAGAGCAGCTACAATGGCTATGAGTCATTGGTGGCCACAGGCTTGGACACCAGAACTTATTTTACAATAATTAGACTATTAAGGAAGTATAATGATTTACATAGTGACTTTTGTGCTATCCAGAATAGTGTAGGATCTTTTGGTTTTTATCTTTACAAGAATTATTGATTGAAAGAAGCTTCTTTCAACCCCTCCTTCAGTATCAGTGTGCGAAAGAATAACAGAAGTGAATCTTCCATACTGGTGTCAAGGAAAATAATCCTAATGATGGAATCTTCAAAATCCAGCATGTGTTGTACTTATTTTTTCTCTTAAAAAATCAACAGTAAACACACAACCCCTGCTTTTTTGTGTATCTTATCCACCAGGTTTTCTGTTACACAAATAACCATAAAATGATGCAGCAGCTCTGCTTTTTGGTTACTGTGGTGAGCTGTGGAGAAAAAGTAGACTTTAAAAGATCTATTTTGGAATAGTTTTTATCTGACCTGCTTATACTTACATCTAAATATTTTATGTTTGTTTTGCATGCAGTTTTTTACATTGTGTTCAGCACGCAGAATTGTGATTGGCATGATTTGAACCTGCATAAGGGGAACTCGGATGGATTCCATTTAACCACCTGTAGTAGTACTTCCAGTAGTATATGAACTTTATTTCAAGGAGGGGTAGTGCTAATTCACTGGATCATAACTTTACTGAGTACAGGTGGAATCTGTCTTGCAAAAATTCATCTAGCAAGAAAATTCTTTATAAACTTTACCATTGTAGGAGACTTCCATCAGTCTCGCACTGTGCTTGCCTGATGCTAACTTGTTGCTAGCTTACTGTTTCTGTCTTGTTTTGTGAAACTTAAGGATTTGCATCAAGCCAAGGGGAATATAGGTTGTTTCTTCAGCATAACAGATAGCATCCAGCTATGTTATCTGGTTCTTAATAGAGAACTTCTCATAACCTTCTCCCAGAATAAAAACAGATTTAAACAGATTAAAGAACTCTTCATTGGCTCCAGTAGGCACAGTAGGCCTATTTAAGCATGATAAAATTAGCTTTATAGTTTAACTTACTATCTTGAACTGCTCAGAGGGAAAAATGGAATGCTACCTGAGCCCTTATGTAAATGAAGGGCAACCCTCCTCCTCCACCCTTTCTCTTAGTGATTGGTAAGTGAGGATTCAAATACTCCACTCTCCTGTGATCCCAGAATATATGAAGCTTTTCTTCTTTTGACAGCCAAAGGGGACAGGCTTAGGCTAAATCATAATGTCTGATCAGTTCTGGGACGTGGCTTTTTCCTTTGTTTCAGGAGTGACTGAGTACTCTGGAGAGGTACCTGGTGTAGTCCATATGAAGATTTGTTTTTATTATTTTCTTAAAATCTCTTAATAAAGTTATGTCTGTAATACAAATGCATATTTGCCAATTCTTGTTTAAATTGTACATAGTACAGTACACCCATCTGGAAAATATGATGATAAAACCCCCAATACTAGTTTTGTAATTTGTTCCATTTCCTTTATTAATACGTAATAGTTTATAAATGCTTTTACAGTTTTGTTGAGTGCACTTGCCTGGTTGTACCTTACAGCAAATGCTGTTAATATCTTGGCACGTTTGAGGAAATGTAATAGAGGAAACACCTGTAAGTAAATAAAGGGGGCTGAGTCCCTGCACTAATTCGAAGCATGTAGTCAAAACATGCAACCTTAGTCAAAGTTGTCATATTTATAAATGAAAAATGAAAGGATTAGTGCCACTTGAATGCAATTGCTGTATTCCATAGCTTTATAGGTGAGACAAACTGTGGCTAGAGAATATTGTTCTTCCATTGTTGACACATCAGCTTACTCTCGGTCTGTTTATGGTAGCGCTGGGCATACTTTACAGAAAAATAAACATGCTGCTGAAATTGTAATGGAAAAATCTGTGTGTGTCGTTTTTTTTTGCAGGAGGATAGTAAACAGGCTCAGTTTTTGGCTTTGGCTGTTGTGTATTTTATTTCTGTGCTCATGGTTTCGAAATACAGAGATATACTGGAACCCCAGAACGAAAGACGACTGCCAAACCGTAGCCAGTCATTCAAGGAATCGGAGAATGAAAATAATGAAACTCCTGCTACAGGTGAACTGTTAATTATTTGTCCAAATGGAATAATGTCGCTCATGTTGACATTCTGTGGAAGTCCCTGTGATATAGAAATATGCGCATTGTAACCACTTAAACAACATTACGGTATTTGATTTGCCTCAGTGTTTGTGCGTGTCTTTTTCTGATCTCAGAACCACCTAATCCATAGGTTGATTTTGCAGTGTAGAGGTGGTTAATCTCCCTGAAGTCGCTGCTTAGCGATTCATGAGTGCCTGTTGCAGAAACCTTACTGTTTTGGGTAAGGTTAAGTATGCATAAGCATAGACTGGCAGCTTTTTGTTTCTACTGTAAGACTTTTCTCCTATTTTTTAAGGCAATCAATTAATTTTCATTCTCTGTTGAGTCAATATCTTCTATTTTCTTACCTCAAATTTTGGATGTTATAAATTCTTAGGCTTCTCAAAAATTAGAAGGAAATTTTTCTAATCTAAGGCTCCTATTAAATACTTACAGATAATATTAAGTCTCTAAGTAGGCAAGAGGAAATACTTATAGCTGTGCTATTTCCCTTGTCACCTATTGGTGTTACTTCTTTAGGAGCAGTGTAGTGAATGCAATACTGTTAATCATGAACTTAATGTGTTTTTGGTATGAACAGATGTGGAAAACCCATCTGTTCTTGGTGGTTCAGCCTCCACTGAAGATTCGGAAAGTACAGCATCTGCACGAAGAAGGGATTCTGGTCTTGGGGAGGAACCAGCTTCAGGGCAAACAAACAGTTCTGGCAGTGTTGCTGAAACAGGACCTCTGAATGTCAGTGCAGGTCCAGATGCAATCAGTGAAGTACTATGCACGCTCTCATTGGAAGTAAATAAGTCTCAGGAGAGCAGAAGTGAGACAGGAACTGAGGATAGCAAGCCTGCAACTTCTGTGCCAGCTGCAAAAAATGTCAATGTAAAAGACATCCTGAGAAGCTTGGTAAGCACACCGGCTGATGGGACTGCAGCAGATTCTGCTCTTCTGCCACCAACCTTCCTTGGAATGCTTGGCGATGGGGCTGCTGAGCAGCCTGTACAGTTCCATTCCTTTGACAGGTAATGCAACTTCTAAAATACTTGAGCTATTTCATTTTGCTTAAGACATCTGTAAGGAGCAGAAAAAAATCACATTTCAGTTCACCAGAACTTATGTATGTTATCATCTAGTATATAATCAAAATGCTTTGGTTTCCAAGTAGAAACTTCGTCTGCAAAGTCCCCAACATCAGGTAGGTTCATCACGAAGGTATGCTCTGTAATTCATGGGGATGCTGTGTTATGCTACAAAATACTGTAGAAATGAAAAATAACTGGTGTTTGGGTTATACATGAAGGTCTTGAAGACAGCATTTAAGAGTTAATTCTTCTGTCTCCATGCATGTTACAACTCAGAAGCAGTATGGTAAAAGGTCCAATAAGTTGCCTAGAAATGACTGCAAGACTAGAAGAGAAGATTAAGGGTGTAAGCTGTTCTTTTGTCTTTCCTGTTCTCCTAACTGCAGCACTTGCAGATGAGTGCTGCTGTACCGTGCATATGCAGTCAGTTTTAAAGGACTCAGGACATAAAATGGACATTGAAGAACTGAATGTAATGATGTCTAGATTAGCTTGTGTATTGACCACAAAGCTTTATCTAGTTTCTGTTACTGTGGGCCTGCAAAGGAATACTGGTTTAATAATGGCTACAAATGGGTCAAAACCAATGGAGTAATCATCGAGGTGTCCTGCCTATAGAATATTCCCTATTTGTTTACAAAAATGCACCTTCTAGTGCTAAAGGCCCCTTGAAATCATTTTGGGCTTTATTCACTGGATATATCCCTAAACTGTTTTATTTGCTTTGTTAGAGGCTGCTAGAAAAGCCTCTTGTCCCGTCAGCTGGGAGAAGAGACCAACCCCCACCTCTCAGTACCCTCCTCTCAGGCAGCTGTAGAGAGCGATAAGGTCTCCCCTGAGCCTCCTCTTCTCCAGGCTGAACACCCCCAGCTCCCTCAGCCGCTCCTCACAGGA